ATAGCACTAATTCACACAAAATATTATGTCTTCTTGAGTGAGTCAAGGACACCTAGGATTCCGACCAGGCCCTCCATAGTAAAAATAAGTTCCCCATACATTGTTTTTACCTTGTCTTATGTCATAACAAGCCGGATGATCGGCTAAGACATGGAGATTGTTGAGAGGTAAGAGATTGTTGTCCCAATCAACGACTTGTAAGTTCCTAAAGTAGGCGGCTTTCTCAAAGCCTTCATCTGCGAAATGGCCACTTCCCATCTGCGTTCCGGTGTGTGCGCCGCTTGATCGGCTGTTTACAACTTCGCCGCCAAATTGAACCATACTTGCATGACTCCTCAAGTGGCTAAACAAGAAGACTGGCCAATATCCGACCAGAAGTCCGTTTCCTAGTTCAAGCCACCAATGCCCATGTTTTGGATCCTACATTATGTTTCAAATGACCACAATTGGCAATATCAAGTTCAGATTCAAGACTAACAATAAAGTATAGCATAGATGAAGGAGCAAAGACATCAAGAAAAAACCGAAAATGGGTTTGTAATGAAATCATTTTGGTTTCGATTGTCTCAAAAATATTCACGTATATATATTTTTTTTAAATCACAGCGTTTACATGCTAACAAAAAAAAAAGAGGTCCTTTTAAATATGTTTCAAGTAAACAATTGATTTGAGAACATACGTATTGAAAGTAAATTAAAAGATAAACATAAACAAACAGTTGATCATCCGTTATAAACGGATTTGCATGGATAAGAATAGCTAAACATTTGTGAATCCATCATTATTTGAGTTTTTTTTTGAAACTTTTATTTGAGTTTTTGTTAACCATCATTAATTCATTATATCAGTTACCAAGCAAAACACGCATGTTCATATTTTTATTTATACTATGGTGGATCAGAAAAATTTACCCATATATAGCCATACAGGTTTCTAGTTGATTCACATTAAAGCTCTGCTTTTACTGCAGGTGCAGTGAAGTTTCTGTCATCAATTTCATATCCTCAATTTAATGCGCTTACCAAATCAAACCTTTTTTATTTATTAACAATGTTTCAAAATTGCCGAGCCTATCTTTCTTTTATTAGTTCAGTTTATGAAATTCGAGGTTGGTTGATTTCTTTATTTTTCCTCAAAGAGTTAAAACGAATTCAAAGTATCTAGAGTCGCTCACTGTAAAAACTAAGCTTTGTCTCCGGGTGCATGATTCTAACTTCTTCGATAACTATTAGATTTACATATGATTCGTGATGTTTCATGTGACGTGCATGAGCATGAGTAACGTCTACAACACAAATTATCGCCTAAAATGCTTACGATGATAATCTGGCTTTAAAGCTTTTCATGAGAAAAGGATTCAGTGCACCACATCAATTCATCAAACAAACCTAGGAATCTGTCACAAAAACATCATATTTGTATATCCATGGGTATGTATTTAACTATTTATGTGCGTTGGTATGGGCGGAATTTAGTTAGATTGCTTACAGTAAAAGCTAAGATAAGAAAAGGAAAATTAAGTACAAGAGGTAGATATGTAATGAGATTAAGAAAAGTTGCTGACAAAACACATAAAAACGTGAAAGAACTGGTTGAAGGACTCAAAATTCAAATATGTGGAATAATCTTATGTTTGTGTGTCGGTTGATTTAATTAGTAGACATCTGCGTAGCGTATCAAGTGCGTTATTGACTTACTGTATGTCGGTCTTAGTCCTTTTAAAATGCAATATTTTGTTTCAATGTACTTATCTAAAAGAAAGCTTAAGTTTGAAGCAATCATATTGCCTAAATTAAATGAAGCATTAACTACATGTAAACATTTTTAAATGTGTTTTTAGCGAAAGAAAAAAAACATTTTTTAAATGTGTAGTGGGTCAGTGTCTTCTTCTTAATATCTAGAAAGAGAAGAAGAACACCTATTAATGCGCTAGATTACACATTCCGATCAATTTAAATGTCGAAGTTCGTTGGTAAATTCAAAGACAACATGCACGTACTACTATAACTTCATATTCTACCATATACTATAATATCCATCAAATGATGCAATGACGAAAGAAAAGACTAAATTAATTAGATCAATACTCTCTTTTTTTTTTAACGAAAATAGATCAATACTCTCTTTGTTTTTGTTTGGTTTGACCAATATCAAGTAGAATGTATATGTTGGAAGAAATTGTAGTGAGTATAAGTTTTCAGGAAAATGTTGTCCTTATATATGAATTGAATACATATAATATGGTTAGAAGTGGGGAAATAAATGGAAGAAAAAGAAGACTGACCTTCCAAATCATTAAACCGATGTCAAACTGTCTTCCTTTATAAGAGGACCTCGGGGAAATCGCTGCACCAATTGCGATTTTATTGTTGGTTTGTACGAACCCTGAGCAGAGTAAATTGTAGCACCCAGTTGCTTGGTATGCATCTGTCTGCTTTTTTCAAATTTTCAATTCAATTAAATAATACAGTAAGAAAAGAGATGAAAAATAAGTAGAGAGACTGGTATTCACCGTCCAATATGTGAAGAATCTTGGATAATTATCTCCGTATAGCTCAGGACTAACCTGCCAAAAGATCCAGTGCAATGTAATCAGTAATCACCAACCTAATTATTAATTGGACCCACTCTATATCCCCACCTCATTCTTTTGTAACCCAGTACTGTATACTAGTTGATTAGAGGGTCGATTCTCCAATTAGAAAATTAAGGTCTTGCTTGTATTTAAGATGAAACTTTCAGATTTATCTGAAAAAGTTACTCAATTGATATAAAAGCAAAACAAACATAGGCAAACAAACATTTATTGGTTAGTATTTAACTAACTATTAACTCGTCAATTATTGGTTAGTAAAAGTCATCAATTTTCTTAGTACAGAAGAAACTTTTGTTTTTGTTTTTCCTCATAATATGTTCATAAATGATGTTTGTATAGTAGTAAAAATGCATAGTACCTGCCAACCAGCTTCAATGGTGTTTAGGTCATGGCCAAAAGAGCCGGAGATGAGCCAAATCTGAGATAAACTGAACTCATAAGCATCAGTGACACGTGGCGCCCACACGTTTATGCTTGCCTTTGCTCCGTAATATTGTTCTCCGTTTACAAACACCACCGCGTGCTGCATGTATATTAATTTAAACTGTAAATAGTATTATATTGCCAGGTACCTTTAATTTTACACCTTAAAAATCATTCAATTTCACACTTATCTTTTTCAATACTATCAAGAAATCAGTCCTATTGTCTCTCAATCTCGATCGAATCATTTTTTTAAAATCATGTTGGGGAATAAAATGCTTTATTGAACCAACAAAAGTTAAAGTAAAGCAAAAGAAAACATTATATTTTAGCAAAAAAAAAAAGAAAGCATTATTAGTATTCCCCCGCATGATCGATTCGTTAGTTACCTCGTGGCCGCCTCCGGAGGAATCTCGTCTGATGGGTCTTCTCAATCTCCGACCAAACCGTCGAACTGATTTTGCCCTCAAAACATCACTTTGCGTTGTTCTTCTTATTGGTATTGATCCAATTGGGCAACTTTCGCCGGACTCACTCCATAACTGATTAAAATGTTCCTCATCTCTTGTTTCATTTCCTCTACGTGGTCTGTCTGGCAAATCCTGCATGTTTCCATTAATAGAATCATTTTTCTTTCTTTTAA